GCCCAATCCTTTTATAGCAAAGGACAAGCCTGGACAAACTCTTATATGATGTAAAGCGCTCCCGAGGACACATGGGAATATCGTCAAGCTAGTTTTCATCACGTTCATATGATTCACGTTCGGTACTTTGTTAATTTGGTATGTGGGTGGACCGGTGCTTGGGTGTTGTCCTTACTTGGACAAACATCCCACTTATGATTAACCTCTATTGCAAGCATCCGCAAATACAACAAAAGTATTAAGGTAAACCTAACCATAGCATGAAACATATGGATCCAAATCAGCCCCTTACGAAGCAACGCATAAACTAGGGTTTAAGCTTCTGTCACTCTAGCAACCCATCATCTACTTATTACTTCCCAATGCCTTCCTCTAGGCCCAAATAATGGTGAAGTGTCATGTAGTCGACGTTCACATAACACCACTAGAGGAGAGACACCATACATCTCATCAAAATATCGAACGAATACCAAATTCACATGACTACTAATAGCAAGACTTCTCCCATGTCCTTAGGAACAAAAGTAACTACTCACAAAGCATAAACATATTCATAATCAGAGGGGTATTAATATGCATATAGGATATGAACATATGATCTTCCACCAATTAAACCAACTAGCATCAACTACAAGGAGTAATTAACACTACTAGCAACCTACTAGCACCAATCCCGTACTTGGAGACAAGAATTGGATACAAGAGATGAACTAGGGTTTTGAGATGAGATGGTGCTGATGAAGATATTGATGGAGATTGCCCTCTCCCGATGAGAGGAGCGTTGGTGATGACGATGGCGATGATTTCCCCCTTCGGGAGGGAAGTTTCCCCGGCAGAACAGCTCCGCCAGAGCCCTAGATTGATTCCGCCAAGGTTCCCCGGTAGAAACTTTGGGGCACTCTTTGAGGTTCTATGTGTTGGTTGAATAGATGAATCTGAGATTGTGTGATGCATATCGTATAATCATACCCACGAATACTTGAGGTGACATTGGAGTATCTAGGTGACATTAGGGTTTTGGTTGATTTGTGTCTTAAGGTGTTATTCTAGTACGAACTCTAGAGTTGTTTGTAACACTTATAGAAATAGCCCAACGAATTGATTGGAAAGAATAACTTTGAGGTGGTTTCGTACCCTATCATAATCTCTTCATTTGTTCTCCGCTATTAGTGGCTTTGGAGTGACTTTTTGTTGCATGTTGAGGGATAGTTATATGATCCAATTATGTTATTATTGTTGAGAGGACTTGCACTACTGAAAGTATGAAACCTAGGCCTTGTTTCCTAGCATTGCAATACCGTTTACGCTCACTTTTATCATTAGTTATCTTGCTGTTTTTATATTTTCAGATTACAAAACTTTATCTACCATCCATATACCACTTGTATCACCATCTCTTTGCCGAAGTAGTGCACCTATACAATTTACCGTTGTATTGGGTGTGTTGGGGACACAAGAAACTCTTTGTTATTTGGTTGCAGGGTTGCTTGAGAGAGACCATCTTCATCCTACGCCTCCTACGGATTGATAAACCTTAGGTCATCCACTTGAGAGAAATTTGCCACTGTCCTACAAACCTCTGCACTTGGAGGCCCAACAACGTCTACAAGAAGAAGGTTGTGTAGTAGACATCACTGGTGAGGGCATCGTTCGGGTGTTGCCCAATTCCCATTTGGCGCTTCAGGCATTACTTAAAGAGTTAACGGTATGTGCAGCAACCTTCAGAATGGTTGTCCCATGTAAGGCACGTAGCGGGAAGCTCGTCCCGGTTCATGGAAGCTTCTGAAACCTTTCTGTCTGTTTTTTTCCTTTTCGTTTCTTGTTTTTCTCGGCAGTGGTTTTGTTCTATTTTATTTTATTTATTTTTATTTTTATTGTTTTATTTACTTTTTTGTTTTTTAAATGCAATTCTTAGAATAGATAACCCCTGTCAAATTCATGAACTTTTCTCAAGTTTATGAACAGTTTTCAAATTCATAATTTTTAAAATTTCATGAACAATTTTAAAATTTTCTTTTTTTTCAATTTTCATATTATTTCCAAATTTAGTAAGAAACTAAATTCATGATTTATTTTTCAAATTCAAGAATCTTTTTTCAAATGTATGTACCTTTTTTCTTTTTACAAAACAGGAACTATTTCCAGATTGAAGTTTTCTTTTTCAAAAGTTAACCGGTTAGCGGACATTGGTCGATTGGTGAACCACTCAACGGCCGACAAACAGAACAAAACCTGAAATTGGGCGAATGGAGAAGTAGCTCTTGATTTCTTGGTGGGCCGACACATGGGAGGAGCGCATGACAACCCGGCGCACGGGAATCCTATTTCTCGCGTATTACCAGGGATGCCGCTTCGTCAGTTTGGCGACCCAGCTAGGGGCTCCTTTTTAGAACCTTCCTAGACCATTTTTTTCTTCTGTTTTTCTTTCTTTTCTCTGTATTTTCATTTTCATTTTTCCTTATTTTTAAATTCTCATTTTTTCTTATAATGTTTTTCCTTCTACTTCTTCCTATTTTTTATTCTTTTATTTCAAACTAAAAACATATTTTGAAACCTGGAATATTTTCAAATTGTGAACAAATTTTGAAATTTAGAAAATTCATGAATTTTTTCGGAAATATGAGAATATTTTTTTAAATAATGAACATTTTAAGTTTATGAATTTATTTGAAATCTGAGAATATATTTTTAATTTTCTAAACAGTTCTGAAATCCAAGAAATTTTTGAAATTTTTGAATATTTGTTTGAAATCCATAAATATTTTTGTATTCTGAACATTTATTTTCCAAATTCATGAAATTATTTTTAAATTTCTATCAATTTTTTAAATCATGAACATTCTTGGAAATTCAGGATAACTTTCAAGTTTGTGATTTTTTTAAATTTGAGAACAATTTTTGTTATTTATATTCTAGAACAATTTTTGAAATCCAGGAATATTTTTCCAATTTGTGAACATTTCAAATTTTGAAAAACAATTTGAAATCGATAACTTTTTTCAAATTCCTTTACATTTTTTGAATACTAAAACTTTTTGAAATCCCTAACTTTGTTGAAGTCATGAATATTTTTTAAGTTACAAAAAGAAATGAAAAAAGGGCGTGCTCGCCCTGCACTTGGGCTGGCCGAAAGCGCACGCAGGGGGTGGGGGTGCGTGTTTGCTTGTTGTGTGCCGCATAGAGCGCAACTAAATGGGGAGACCTCCAGGAATCGCTTTTGTTGCCCTTAGAGCATGCCCAGTGGTGCGTCCAACCGCCACCACATGTCGCCTGCTAGACGCTCCCCATGATTTTTTTATTTTTTGTTTACGTGATTCGTTTTAGATGTGTTTTTTTGGGTTTTCCAGTTTTTTGGTTTTCGCCGGATTTTCCCTGAGCTTTGGAAAAACATTGCGCGCCAAAAAATATTCCATGAGTTTTTGTTGTGGTTATTTTTGTTGCTTCCGCGAGAAGCACATATTTGCTTCTTGTGGAGGCACAGATTTTCTTTCATGTGAAAGAAAAAAAATTATGCTTCCAGGAGAAGCACAAGTATGCATCTCGTGGAGGCACTTATTTGCTTCCACGATTTCTTAGAAAGAAAAAAAACTATGCTTCCACGAGAAGCATAGATTTGCTCCTCGTGAAGGCACAAATTTGCTTCCGCGAGAAGCACCACAGGAAAAAAAGAAGTGCTTTGATAAGAATCACACATTTGCTTATGCAAGTAGCATAGTCGTGCTTCTCGAAAAAAAACTATGGAAGGACAAATTTGCTTCTCGTGAAGGCACGGAATTATTTTCACAAGAAGCACAACTATGCTATGAATGCATAGATTTGCTTTCACGAGAAGCACAACTGTACTTCTCAAAATGGAAAAAAAAGCGAGGAATAAACATGCTTTTTGTCTCTGTTTTTTTCCCTATTTTTCGTGAAAAATGTTGTCTATGAAAATCTTGACGCGAGAAATCCAACGGTGAAGGTTCGGAATTTAGACGGACGATTCAAGCGATAAATTGTTTTGAATAAAGAAATCTATGAAAAAAGAGAAACTCCTGGGTTGTGACAAGTGGTGCATATGCCGTGTGCCACTTGCAGCACCTGAGAAGATGGGAGTGAAGTTTGCAAGGGGGTAACCCTCAATTGATGATTTCGGAGAACAAGTGGTCCCGGGCACGGCCGAAAAGGTTCACGGATTTGACAAAATGTTCGCAGGTTTGTGAAAAGTTCATGAATTAAAAAAACCCGGAAATTGGAAAAAGCTTAGGAGTTTGAATTTTCTTTTCGATTTGGAAAAAGTTGATGGATATGAAAAAAGTTAACGGATTTCAAAAAAGTTTATGGTTTCAAAGAAAGGTTCAGATACCTAGATTGCAAGAAAAATCTTGACCCGACCGACCATTTCATGAAAAATAGTAATATGTTGCATGTATTTCCTATGTAAATGTCAACTTATTAGAAAATTTGCATTGATGATATGACCGTTTTTGATTATTTCCCAGTGTTACAGATATATTGAAAACATACTTTTCAGAACATGGAAGTATACGTACACCTAATCAAAAAGTCCACAACAACGACATAAAAACATGTTTGACCATTCGTGCAGGCAATTCCACATCATTAGTGGCGAAGAGATTAGTTTATATCAAGTGATATATAGTATATCTCAAGTCAAGAAGCATCTCTACCTCCAATGGAAAACACGAGAATATAGCCCCTTCAACCTTCATTTTGAAAATGTGGTAAAGCTAAGTTCGTGGCTCTTGCACACTATGATGTGCTTAGTTTAAAGCAATTGGAAATCTATTACTCTGTCTAGTAGGTCAACTCTGTTACCAATTGAATTATTGTCATCTAATATGTTTCAGGAAGTAAAAACATATTCTATTTAGAACTCGAGAAAAAAGAAGGCAGACAATATTTAAAATCAGTTCAGCTAAAGAACATTTCATAATCTACTGAAATATACTGGGCAAAACGTTGACATGTTGTCGACCACATGACCACATCATCACATATCATAATCTATTGATTAGCCAGCAGCATAAATAAGCAATATGTATAAATTTCAGTGCATTATTTAAAGGAGACATACGTGCATGATGCAATTTTCATCTCAAAAATTGCTGGAGTATATATATCCGAAATAGTCGGCATACATACCTAAAACCTAAATGATCTGTCCCAGCAAGAGAACCATCCAAAATTTTGAGATCACCAACCTGTCTACATATATATAGCTAGCTGTAGCTTCGTTTCCCAAAGCCATTTCCTCCACCATGTCCTCATACATCGCGCCGTTCGAGCCCGGAGAGGCCGTGGCCCCGTGCTGCAGCACAACCACGCTGCTCAGCGCGTTGGCGGCATCCGTCGCCTGCTGCTTCTTCCTCGTCGTCATCTTCCTCTGCCTGCGCTTCCTCCACCTTCGCCGCACCAGGACGCGGCACCACGGCGCACAGCCCCTGCAAGGGCAGGGCCAGGCCCAGCAGCCCAAGCACGGCCTCGACGCCGCCACCATCGCGCTCTTCCCGTCTTTCCCGTACCGGCGGGACCGCTCGGCGTCGGCGCCGGACGAGTGCGCCGTGTGCCTCAGGGTCGTCGACGAGGGGGAGACGGTGAGGCAGCTCCCGAGCTGCAAGCACCTGTTCCATCAGGAGTGCGTCGACGTGTGGCTCCTGTCCAACGCGTCGTGCCCGGTCTGCCGTGGGAAGGTCGAGCGGGCCGCGGGCGCCGATCAGCGCGAGAGAGCCGCGGCATCAGCGGCCGTCGTGCCAATCGAGATGATGGACGATGAAACGCTGTCTCCATCGCCGTCGACGTCGTTAGAGCCGTCCGCGCCGGAGCGGCCGGGCTGGTTTGGCGGGCGAGCCTCCGGCTCCCGCTCCGGCCAGGAAACGGACTTGGAGCGGCAATAGCAGTCATTTTCCAGGGAGTCCGGGACTCCTGTATATGATCGCACGATCTGTTGAAGTAGGTAGCAACAGGTTCGTCATTCGTATATGCAGAGAGCTTGTTGGCAGCACACATTTTATTCGGTTGTTGTAAACGATCAGTATTGCGACCCTAACTTGCATGGGCGCTTATTCATAGGCGAACGCTCGGCCGGTCGCGGCTCGCTAGCGACGACACAAATGCGTGGGGCCACTCTAGCCACACATTCCCGTGAGGCCGTGACCCATCCCGCACTCCCTCCCATCAGTTTTTTTATTCCTTCACATCCTTATCCACTCCCTTCTAGCATCTTCTTCCTCATCACATCTCATCGGATAAGTTCATCCACCTCCCGACTTTGCCTGAGCTGTTGTGCTCTAGATCCATACGAGGCGTCCACGAGCTTGTTTTCGAGGGGGTCGGGCAGAGCTACAAGAGTGGGAGGCGGAGGGGAGCTGGTCTACATCAAAGATATTGGGAGGCGGAGGGGCGGCATGGCGACTAGCTGCACAGCAGGATGCAAGCCGCGATGGTGCTACTACATGATACAACCGGCAGGATGGGGAGCTGCAACCCCTGGCTAGCGGAGCTGCAACCGAGGCGTGGTCGAACTGCATCCAGTGACGGCCGCCAAACGGCTAGCTACAAATGGCGGTTCCCAGAGCTGCAACCGCCCGTTGGTCGAGCTGCATACCGCGACACACCCGACGGCGAGCTGCAACCGTGCAGTACAAGCTGATGGACGAGACGGCGGCGACAAGCTGCAATAGGTGATCTGGATTGCTGGATCTGGTTTTGCTGGAACAAGTGTCTTTTTTGCTGGAACTAGTAATCCTTTTTGCTACAATCTTTTTCTTTTGTTTGCTACAATCGAATCAATGGGAGTCACCCTGTTGTTATTTTTGCTGGAACCAGCATTTATTTTTGCTGGAACTAGCAATTTTTTGGCTACAATCAACCACCCAAGTTCTCCTGCTGAGATTGATTTTGCTGGCACCGATAACGTTTTTTGCTGGAACCTTATAATGTTTTTGCTTCAACCGAACATTGAGGATTTGTTGCTTTTTAATATCTTTTTTGCAACGGCGTGGTGCTGTGATTTTTGTTGCAAATGGCGGCAGAAAAGCTACAACCGCGCCCAGATTCGCTATAACCCGACAACGGAGTGTGGCCGGCGGCGACATGCTGCAATTTTCGGCAAAGACGGCCCACTATTTTTAGTTCATGCAACGGGCAACAAGGGAAGCTTCTATGGGCGCTGGGATTTTTTGTTGCAACCGTGGGGGGGCTCCTGGAACTGCTGCTGTTCGGGATCGAGTATGACGAGCAGCGGCGAGCTGGTGAGATTATCGGCGTTGGGGCAGGGGTGGGGTGGGGGGTCATGATTCGCGCTGTTGGTGAGGCTCTGGTGCGCGGGCGCTTGAGAAGAAAGAAAGAGTTAAAGGGGAGGAACAAGACAACACAGGTGGCATATCTGACGGCCTCCTACAACTGTATCGTGTGGTCACTGTGTGACCGGCCCAAATTTGGGCCGGTGCGCCGGCGCCTTGCTATGTGTTATTTGGCTTCGCAAATGACTAAATGAGTAAGAAAAAATAGTGCTCGCCACTACGGTCCCGAACTGTATTTCACATCAAAAATAGTGCTCACCACTACCATCACCAACCCGATAATAATGAAGATTGGTGAGAGTCCTCTCTAGCCTTGAGCGACCCGAACTGTATTTCGTCGTCCATATTAGGCATTGGAATACCTTTGGAATTGCAGAATTCCTCAGCCTCATGAAAAGGACTCTTCCAACCATTATCTCTCATGGTAGCTGTCGGTGTCAAAACCGGTGGATCTCGGGTAAGGGGTCGCGAACTGTGCGTCTAGGCCGGATGGTAACAGGAGGCAAGGGACACGAAATTTTACCCAGGTTCGGGGTAAAACCCAACGTCCTGCTTGATTAATATTGATGATATGGGTAGTACAAGAGTAGATCTACCACGAGATCGGAGAGGCTAAACCCTAGAAGCTAGCCTATGGTATGATTGTTGATGTGTATGTTGTCCTACGGACTAAAACCCTCCGGTTTATATAGACACCGGAGAGAGTTAGGGTTACACAAAGTCGGTTACAATGGTAGGAGATCTTCATATCCGTATCGCCAAGTTTGCCTTCCACGCCAAGGAAAGTCCCTTCCGGACACGGGACGGAGTCTTCAATATTGTATCTTCACATTCCAGGAGTCCGGCTGAAAGTATAGTCCGGCCATCCGGACACCCCCTAATCCAGGACTCCTTAGTAGCCCCTGAACCAGGCTTCAATGACGACGAGTCCGGCGCGCAGATTGTCTTTGGCATTGCAAGGCGGGTTCCCCCTCCAAGTACTTCACAGAAGATTTTGAACACAAAGATAGTGTCCGGCTCTGCAAAATAAGTTTCCACATATTGACATAGAGAGAATAATAGTTACACAAATCTAATCTGCTGACGTATTCCGTAGCGTGACACACCACGGCCAAGCCTTTATCCGAGTCGTTTCATTATCCCACCTCAGCACGTCATGCGAGGCGGTTTCCTTGGCACGTCTTGTTAAAGTAGAGATCGTGTCCCCTTATTTCGGAATTCTCATCAATACGGGCGTGGGTAACCCAACTGCGCCATTGATTACGGCGCTTGGGGATAAGCGAGTTTTACCAGGCCGGTGGGGACATGTAGTTGCGTCCACCCATATAAGGGGATAATGATCCACCCTTTCACCTACGCCTTCTTCCTCCTTCGCCTATCCATTCTTGCGCACTCGAGCTCCAGCGCCCAAGTCCGCACTCCCCACCTCAACCTCCTCCAGCCATGTCCGGAGCGGGAGGCAAGTGGATGGTCTCCTCCATCACGGAGGGACACATCAAAAAGCTGAGGAAGGTCGGATACCTGTCTAACGAAATCGCGTACCGGCTTCCCGAAAAGGGGCAGCTCATCCCCACCCCTAGGCCCCATGAGAGGGTGGTGTTCCTCCCCCATTTCCTCCACGGACTGGGCTTCCCTCTCCACCCATTTGTCCGGGGGCTCATGTTCTACTACGGCCTGGATTTCCACGATCTGGCCCCGAACTTCGTCCTCAACATCTCGGCGTTTATCGTCGTGTGCGAGGCCTTCCTCCGCATCCGTCCCCATTTCGGCCTATGGCTCAAGACTTTGAACGTTAAGCCGAAGGTGGTGCGCGGCAACCAGGCGGAGTGCGGAGGCGCCATGGTGGGCAAGATGGCCAACTTCCTATGGCTCGAGGGCTCGTTTGTGGAGACCCTGAAGGGGTGGCAATCGGGGTGGTTTTACATCACCGAGCCGCGCGACGCCGAATGGGTCGCACCCCTTGTGTTTCGATCCAGACCCCCTACGTGGCGCACCTCCTGGAAGGAGACGGGCCTGTCATGGGGCAAGAAGGGAGAGCTGACCGGACTCCAAACATGCGTCCAAACCCTGGTGGACAAGAAGCTCAAACTTGTCAACGTAGTCCAGGTTATGCTCATCCGCTTGATCCTCCCATGTCAACAACGGGCTTTCAACCTATGGGAGTTCGACCCGGCGCGACACCAAACTCTGAGCAGGCTCTTCGACACGACGTACGAAGATGCCTGGAAGGTGCTTTTCAAGGGCGCTGAGGCTCCCGCATCCGCTACCGAGGATCGCGGATTCAGTGCGCAGCGTCACGCTCTCGCGGTAAGCTGTTTTTCCTTTTACAGGGTATCAGTTTTTCATAGTTTGACTCCATGCGGGATCTAAGCTCCCTTACCTTTGACAGGATTGGCAGGTGACATTCGGACAGATCAACTGTCCGGCTCCTTTGACCGAAGGCCAAGCGGACGCTCGCTTGGCGAAGCTGCTGGTTCCGGCACCCTATGTGGTGCCGGAGAAGAAGGCCGCAAAAAAGGCCGCGGGGACTCGAAAGAGTGCCCGGCGCCAGGAGGTGTCGGATCCATCATCCGATGGTTCCGAGGCGCATTCCTCCCGTGAAGACGAGGACGAAGAAGAAGAAACCTCCCCCCCTCCAGCGGGAGGAGAGAAGAAAAGGAAGGCCACCCTCTCTGGGGAGACCGAAGGGTCCAAGAAGGGGAAAACCCTTCCTCCGGACTACTCCACCGACGCCGAAGACGGCGGAGAGGAGTAGCAGCCCAGGGCCAAGCCCCTAGCAAAATCGTAAGTATCCGGATACCAGAGTAATTCATAGTATTCATTTATTGCACAGCTTTCCCTTACGTCGAATATGTTTATGCAGCCCACCCAAAGACCGGCTCGACGCGTCGTCGAGCGGCTCACTGGACTCGTCAGATGTGAACTCGCTTCCGACGGCTTCCTCCCCCCGTCCTACGGACGACACCGAAGTGTTGTCCCAACAGGTTCCAAGCCGGGAGGAGGTGGTCTTGGAGGCGCCGCAAGGCGACCTCCCGGACTCCAGGAGTAAAGGGGATGAAACCCCCCAGGGCTCCAAGTCTGGCTCTAGGCCGGACACCGCTCCGGAACCTTCAAAGGTTCCAGAGTCCGACGGGGGACCTCCTTCCAAGAGGAGTAAGTCCACCGTGCCGGTGGCTCCCGTCCAACCGGAAGCGCCGGACAATATGTTGGAGGCGCTCCAAGGCGCCTCCATCGACGAGGAGCACCGCACTATTATGAGTGCGGTGGTCCAGAAGGTTCAGTCCGCCAAGAGTGGACTGACTGAAGTTTGTACTAGCCTTTTAACAGGCTTTGAGGTAAGTAAAGAGTGTGTAAATAATATTACCGCATAGACAGTAGCCCTTGATGCTCTGTTTGGCGTTCGGGAAGAAAAGCCGAATAGAGGATCAAATAAATTCGCAGGAGTCTAACAAAAATGAGTCAATATGCATATGCAGGCTTCTCTGCTTGCGTCCGCCGCACTAACTGCGGAAGTGGACACGCTGAAGCAGAACCTCGAGCGGCCCGAGCAAGAGCTCGGGCATGCCAAGAAACAGCTCGAGGACAATGAAGGT